CCTGAACAATCCTCGCAAAAGCAGCGGGAGTCAACAAACAGAGCCCTGTTGTTTTACAGCTGCGATGATGTCATGATATCAGAGGAGCGCACATGACTTCCATCTAAACGGGAGGACTTGCGCTTGCTAATGCAAACTAGACGACTCATTGGAGCGCACACATCATGCTCGTAACTCACTCAAAGGATCACGCTCTCCTACCGTTAGCGAACGTGCCCGCGAGCCGCTTATGGAAACTTGCTCTCACACCCAGCAAAACGGCTCCAAATGCTGGATGTGCTCAAGACCTGTTATTGATTATACCGCTCCTGTAGTTTAACACTCCTCTAGCAGTGGTAGTCTGGAAATGGACATTTAGTTTTGTTTCAGATGGGCATCCCGGCCCGCAGGTTTTTTAGACTCCCGGTGCTGGTTTTGGCTCTTTTTGGAGATGTCAAGTTTTCCAATGTGAACTATTTATTTGACATATTTAAGACTCAGGGTGTGCCTGTGCCTGTGGGCAGACATTCTTAAAAATGCCACATAAAGCTAACCAAGTCAACACAAAATCAAAATTGACCCTATTATTTTCTTGGTCTGAATGTGCATGATTGATCAGTGCATGTTATTCTAAAGGCTAAGAATTTAATATGTTTGCAAGTTTAAAAACTTGTAAAAACACCCGCTTGACACCATCCAATAAATTAATCTTCTTACCGACCTCAAACTTTTGAACAGTAGTGTAATTTCTTGATGTTAGGACAATGCACTAATGCTTGTACTGTTAATTTGTTATTTAATCAAATCACAAATATCTTCTATCATTGTTTTCTTCTTAATTCTAGGTAAGGGAGTCGATCCCAACAGGCCTTTGTGTCGGAAAGCTAAGGACCTCAGGAAAGAGAGACGACTTCAAAAGGAGCAACAGAAGCAGCAAGAAGCAGTGTCTTCCACTGTGAATCCCGCCCCATCAAAATCTTCATCTAATCAGCCCAAATCATTGGAGGAGTTCATTACAGAGTCCTTACCCAATGACCCTCTGCACCGTTTGGAGGTAACACATCAACTTTGCTTGTATGTATTATTTCTTTAAGTAACAGAAACGGGCCAAAGCAAGAGAGGATGCACCAATTAAAACTGACTGATCTCAAAGGTGTAACTATCACACCCAGTGGTTTGAGTCTCCTGGGTAAATATTCCAAGCACAAACAATCCTCTCCTGCTTTTGCTGCTATTGCTTGGGTGAAGTCAGCATGGGTAAACAGCCAACGTTTTTGCTTTGTAAGCAAGTCGGTATGAAAGACCCCAAACGTCATTGTCCCTGGAGACGGCACTGGTCTGGTTCATCCCTCAATTAGCTTGTCGACTGGATTGATTAGATTGACTTCAACATGTCATTCAATTATCTTAAGTGGATAGCAGTCAATGTCACTGTCGTCTGAACAAGGTTAGTGGTTCACCTTAGAAACAATACTTGAGAAAATCCAGAGTCTTCATGGCCAGCACTAAAAGCAGCTCTTGTGTACAAAAACTCTTTTGTTTCATCATGAACCTTTGCATACAAACACTTTGTGCATTTATTTATTCAAAAATGTAATGTGCGTGACAGACCCTTGTGTTGAAATCTAAACCGTCAGTGTAGTTTGACGTTAGTTGCCACTTATCTCTCTGGCGCACAGTGAAAATGGATACGTTTAAAGCAGTGTGTGGAGGATCACAGGTTTCCTTTCCAGACCTCGTTTTATCACTTGTGAAACGGGGGTGTTAAGG